CTTTACATATGAAGCACTACAAATAAGAGAACTTTGTAACCCTAGAACTTAAAATGAAGAATCTTGTAACTAACTATGTTTATTTTTCTTTCTTGTTGCCGTTGTAATTTGTTTCGTTTTTGAATTTTTATTTAGCGATTCTGTATTTAGGTAACACCATCTATATGAGAATACCAATAAATTGTTGTTGTTGTTGTTGACTGCAGGGCCACTTTGAGCCACCTGAGTCGTCTTGCACATGAGTCGAACAGTCGAAGCATTACACAATAGTCAATTGCAATAGGCACTTTTGTAATTGAATGAAATGTCAATAAGTGCCCCTGCATTCGGAGGTTTAACTGATAAGAAATGAAGTCCTACCTCCGGTCAGCTTGGTTGCGTGATCATGAGTAACAACAACGAACAAAAGCACATCACAGGAACATCACAGGATTGTCACATGATCACGTAGAACGCACCGGAAGTTGCCCGTGAACAAAATAGGTTATATATCTGTGCAGTGTACCCACGGGTAGGAAATAGTTCGGGGTTCCTTCTTCCAGCAAATTCTACAACACGAAACTTGAAAACTAAGGTTTCGAACCATGCAGCTGATAAAAATTTCGTTTACAAAATCGTCTTCGGGAATAGCCTCCTGCAAAAGGTCAGGAAGTTAAATCTTTCTGAGCCCTTCCCCCTACCCTGAAATAACAGGGAACGTCGCGTGACAGGAATACCGGCGAGCTGGTAACTAGATCTGACAACAACATCATATGACTAGATTTTGTCCATTTTTACAGGGATCGATGTTTTGAGCTTTCTATCTTTTGGTAAACTGGTTTAGAGAGCTGCTTGTCACATCTGTCGAAAGTTTGCCTTTATCTACCTCAAGAACCGCGCCGTTTCCTCCAGTTTCCAAGCAATGGACCGACTTCTGTTTGCAGGTCTGCAGATATTGTCAGTCTTAAGTTTTACTGCAGATGCATCGAGCTCAAGGCCTCATATTATCTTCATACTGGCGGATGATTTGGTAAGCACGACTAATTCATATACGCCAACCTGGAGTCAGACGGAATCTGCCGCTTCGGCGGAGCTTTTTTTGAGACTAGAGGGTAAAACTGGAAAAAATTCGATTTGTTTTAGGGTACTGAGATTGCCATCTTTTTTAATTTTAATCTACGTTTATTTTGTATTGGTTTGTTTATTTGTATTTTTATTACTAAAAGTCACTTTTATGTCAACTTTCATGTTTTCATCTAGGGAGACGTAAGTTACATTTGTTTCAAAGGAGACCAAAAGTGAAAAAATGTGTCAATCAATCAATCAATCAATCAATCAATCAATCAATCAATCAATCAGTCGGTCAGTCATTCAATCAATCAAACAAGCAAGCAATCAGTCAATCAATCAATCAATCAATCAATCAATCAATAAGTCAGTCAGTCAGTCTGTCAGTCAGTCAGTCAATCAGTCAATCAATCACTCAGTCATAATAATAGATTCTTGGAATTATTTCTCTGTATATTCAAACTTGAATAGATAGTTGTCTTCAAGACTGAATTGTTATCTTGCAGTCCAACCCCCTGCCCCTACCCACCCAGATGCCCTATCACATTGTGTTGAATTCAACACTGGTCTGATACATGTATATGCATGTAATTATACAAAGTTGCTTGGTCAATAGATGCATATCAACTCTACTGCTTGTATCTTAACTCCTAGATAAATGACACTAGTCAAGCCTACCTATCATGATGATAATTAATGAGTGATTCATGTTCAATATAGGGCTGGGATGATGTGAGTTTTCATGGCTCAGACCAAATTCCAACTCCTAATATTGATGATCTGGCAAATAGTGGAGTTATTCTGAACAATTACTATGTGCTGCCAATTTGTTCACCCACACGCAGTGCTATTATGACTGGCCGATATCCTATACATACTGGTAAGTCAAGTTTTAGCAATCCCATAAGGACTTGTGTGCTATTCTTGAGAAACCATTGTAGGGGTGGCGAATGGTCCTTCAAAAACTCTGGGTCTCATAAAATTTTAGTTGAATTTCATGGGTCTCACAGTCTCGTTTTTTAGCAGTTATGTGCGTCTCGCAGTCTCGATTTTTATACGAAGCTGTCTCGGAGTCTCGATTTTTCACAAGGCTAAGGGTCTTGAAGTCCCGATTTGTCATTTATCTGTTTTTATAAATGATGTCTTCCGGCTTCACTTGATTTTCAATTTCAATGAAGCAACTTACAAATTTTCTGAGAAAAAGTTAATCCTACATTTTAATTCTCCTAAATTGTCTTAATTCTACAAATAGGTACAAAACCTACCGCAATGTCCCTTTTGATGCCAGAAAAACAGTTATTTTTCTCTAGGATATCCTAATGTAGTGTGTTATAATCGAATTTCCAGTTCCAGTCAGTTCCAAGAAGCTCGCTAAAGGCTGTACAAGCTCATTCTAGCTCTCAACTAAATCTGGGGCTCAAATTTTAAGAGTCTGAATGCTTTGAAGTCTCGGTCTCACAATCTAAAAAGTCAAAATGTCTTGGGCTCGCAGAGAAAAACGCTTGTCTCGCCGTCTCACAAAGACTCGCATTTACCATTCGCCACCCCTCATTGTATTTGTCCATCATAATCCTTTCCCAGAATTTACTGAACCAGTCCCTAGTGGCTTTCTATGGCCCATGGTCCTTCGTTATTCAATAGACAGGTAATCAGTACCCATTGTGTAGTGGATAGCATATCCTAATTTGCAATTATGTTCAGGTGGACTGGTCTTGGTTCCAGTTGTGACCACTTAAAGCATTACTCCCTGCTTTTCCCCACGATTTGGGTCTTAAAAGCCCAACATTTTTTTGAATTTGTTCCAAGTCTCCAATTTTCCCTCATATGGCAAAAGGGTCCATTTCAGGATGACAAGCACATAATGCTCATAGATATTATCTTGTATACCCCATAATAACCATTTAAATGTTTCAGTAAGACGTTGATGGAACTCAACTTAATTTGCCATGAATCTCACCCTCCCTCCCCCCCCCCCCCCC